GGCTAAACATATCTATGACTAAACAGTTCAAGTGACAGTGTTCATGATGCTCTAATGGAGTCCCTTTGATTAACAAAGCTCTAGAGAAACGAAACAATAGCAGTATCACATATAAACGTCATAAATGGTGTAGATATAACAACATAAACGGTACCAATTCTAATGCGCATTGTTGCTAATCAGATAAAAATCACTATTTGGAAAACTAATGGGGTAGGCCTTGGGAACCTCAAAATATTCCTCTCGTTTAATTATTCTTATATTTACACCAATGAAAGGTTAGGGGTCCATGCATCATCTGCCGAAGTATAATTGTTGAAATTTCCCGATGCAATTTTTGTTTATGCTATATTAAATATAACCAGTTTTGGGGTACCCTTAATAAATGGTCGAAAATACTAGTAGGCATATGTTATTGTGTGGTTTTGCACATGTTCTGAATAGAAATACCCATTACTGTTAAAATGTGTAGTAGTTTTTTTTTAACATTTTATGAACAGTAAATTTACAGAAAAAAGGAAAATAACAAAAATACCGAACTCCAAGGAAAATTTAAACGGAAAGTCCCTTATCAATGTCAAATTCAAAAGCTCAAACACATCAAACGAATGGAAAACAATTGTCATATTCCTGACTTAGTACAGGCATTTCCTTATGTAGAAAATGATCGGATCAATGATAATTCAAGTCAACACGGAAGTTCTGAACAGTGGGCTGGTGATAAGGAAGACAATTTATTCCAGTATGATAGTTGTTAACTAGATTTCTAAACGAAAATGGTTTTGTTTTGCTGAATATGTTACATTCAATTCAATATAAGATATCAGATAAATGGAAGTTATTGTTCTGAATTTTGGATAACTAGTCTAAATGCGGGTCATGAACGAACTTAAATGAAGCAAACTGCAATATCATACCAAGCAAGTAAAGACATAGCATGATTTAATACTTGTTATTAGAACATTAACAAGCACTGGTCAATAACAACTATACATCATTCAAGGTTGCGTGGTGCACATCAGAGAAAAAGAAAATATTTTTATAACAGTACACCAAATTTCTTATTCATTACAATGATTGATTGAAATTATAACTAATGAACCTTAATTTCTATTTTTCAACAATTCTGCAGCTGGTTTTGTAACTGTACTACGTAACCTTCAATATGTTTGACTAATTAAGCTAAGGTTTATAACAAGATACATTCACCTACCTGAAAATGTTAGTTCAACATGCAAAACTCTTACAAATGGTTTGCGTAATTTTGTTTCTCAGGTGACACGCATCTACGATAGTACAAAGAAAACTGCAGTTGAGACATCAAAATATTCGATTTTGGTCGTTAAAAAACCGCAATTAGCACATTGTGGAAAAAACAGAGCGAGTGAAATTACCAATTAGAAATTTTCTGTAAAGACTGTGCGATATTACAGTACACTATACTTTAACATCGTCGGTTAAACAACATAACAAAATTGATTTTCAAAACAAATTTTTTTCCAAGCTGTATGATGCTTTGCATCAATTTTAAGCACTTTTTTATATTTCACAACATCGTTTACTTTTCACATCACCCTAAAAATGTAGAGTGTGCTCGCTCATTCATTATAATGTAATAACATACATTGTACTCGCTTTAATAGAAATACATTTTATATTCATATCCATTCGTATGTCTTTGATATCAATAGGAACAAGAGCTTAACCTGTTTGTACAAAATATATTCAATGGTTAATTTTTTTTTGTTACTTTTGCCTACTGTTTCTTGTACACATTCAGACTATTGAGACAACTGATGATAACTATTGAATACTGTGTTAAAATAAACAAACAAACAAAACAAATTATTTTATAGAAAACATAGATTAGTACATTAGTAATGCGATATTGAGTCCAAGTTAGTATAGATATTCATCACAATCACCCTTCATTTACAGGCTGTTTCCGTTGAAAACACTGAAAGCATGTTTGTCAAAAAGCATGGCTATAGCATTGCCACTAGCAATATATCAATGGTTGAGCTCAAACGATTCATCATGCTATCAAGATATCTATAAAAACAGTGCAATGTTTTTAAAGCTGTAGAATGTCAAACATTCTCTTATTTTTTAAGCATCATAACGAAAAAAGGAAATAGCATTAGCGGATAAGGTTTTTAAGCCATCCTGAATCTAATATTTTTTCAGAAAAGAGATGTCACCAATACTGAATGCTTCAACAAAGTATTTTCTAAGAAAATGTATTGTAAAATGAAATCAGAGAAGTTACCTCTCCTTTAAAATCCAACTCTTAAAATCTTTTAATAAACCAAACGGTTTATAAGAAATAGCAAATAAGAATTCTAAATGATAAAGTTGAACAAATGTAATACTGACAAGGTTGGTTGTAACATAATTATTTTCATAGATAGCCACAGCTATGATCTATTTGTTGTAGCCATAATCTCATCCTCCTCTTCTTTTTATGCAGGAGACGCTTACCCTGTCTACGCACCCTGTATCGCCCCTTTTGAGTTGATGCCATTCCTTCAGTTTTCTTACCTTGATGTGTCTATTACTAATCGATGTATGAGGTTTGAACATCGTTAAACTGCCATCGCCTTAATTAATGACAATAACCGAAAGCCACTTATCACTGTCTTTGTATTTGTCATTATCAATAGGACGGGTATTACTAGAGGAGAAGGAACTGCTTAAACGTCTAGAGCGCATGAGTTCACCCCAAAATTTCTGGAAAAGTTCATAGGTAATCTTCAGTGTTTGTGAAGTATTTTGTTGGCTTACTAGTATTTCTAACATTTTCGTCTTTGTATTCTTGTTTAAAGCGTTGTATGTCCTTTTGAGATTTATGATTTTGATTGCTCCTTTGTATCTTCTTTTACCTTTAATTTTGCAAGGTCAGGTCATTTATTGTAAATTTTCGTCCAAAAGTATGGTCATCTCTTATTTATTAACGAATGGTGTTTTTTTTTGTTTTGTTTCCATATTTCCAAGCAATGATGGAACTTTTTTCTCTCGGTAAAGTATACATCATGTACCATAAAAAAGCTGCCTAAATGGTGTGAAATTTATCTATTTACATATGTATATATGGCTATTCGCGTCGATGGGGACTTTATATATATTGGAATTGATTAGATTATATTGATTTTGATTTATATTAGCTTATTAATTTTTTTAGATAAAAACTAAGGTTGCGACTACCTTTGATCTTCGGTAAACTACTGTCGCCTTAATTAAAAAGCAAACTGAGAAAGACGTCTTTGACCCTTTCTCCTTCTCAAAGTTTAATTTTGATCTTCTCTGGTGAAAAAAAAAGCAAAACAGACGATTCCGATGGTTTCAAATACGATTTGTTTCATTTTGAAAGAATAAAAATAAGTTTTGTTTAAAACTTCATAATGGTAATTTATTTTACAAACTTTATACTATGCCGTTAAATAATCAAATTTATAACAGACTTGAAAATTAACTCTATATTTATTTCAGTTCTTTGTGTCAAATTTAGCAATGTAGTAATTAAACTCATCAAAGATACTAGAATTTTAATTTGATACGTAGTGCTGCTATAATACTTCCACTCTATTTGTGTTTTATTTGCTAAGTGTTTTTTAAAGGGAGGCGAAGGATACCAAAAGGACACTCAAACTCATAAGTCGAAAACAAACCGACAATGCCATGACTAAAAAAAAAAGACAAATAGACAGACAAACAACAGCACACAAAACAACATAAAAAACCAAAGACTGAGCAACACAAACCCAACCAAAAACTGGGGGTGATCTCAGGTGCTGCGGAATGGTAAGCAGATCCTGCTCCACATGTGGAACGCGTCGTGTTGCTCATGTAAGTACAAACCCGATGGTATTTCTAATTCGGAAGGTCAGATTCGGGGGAAGGGGATGAGATTATAGTTAAGACAATTGGAATATATCCGTAGTCATCTATGGAACAGATATTCCATAACGATCAACCAACTCGTGATGGCGTCCGTAAAATTTACGAAGTTTTTAAAGTTTGTGTTTACTTAGCTTTAGTGTTTTGTGTTGCTGTTTTAATGCTTTATGATATCGATACTGTTCATATCTTTTAGCTTAGCGCTCATTAAAGCAGTAATTTAATGTGTATCATGGGGGTTTATCTTATTTAACTTAGTTCAGCTTTGCCTAATTGTGCATGAAGTATATGTTTTGTGCCCTTTAAGCTTTAATATCAGTCTTGTGTATTTGGTATATGTTTGCAAATGTCGGCTATAATGCACCAAGGAGTTATGTTATTGTTTTGTGATATGCCTACTTCGAATATGGCTTTTGATTTGATTTGATTTAGTCAACATAAGATTCATCAGTGTAGCATCAAAAGAGAGACGAAAGATACCAAAAGGGACATTAAAACACATAAGTCGAAAACAAACTGACAACACCATGGCTTGAAAAGAAAAAAGATCAACAGACAAACAATAGTACACAAAACACAACATAGAAAACAAAAGACTGAACCCCACCAAAAACTGGGGTGATCTCAGGTGCTCCGGAAGGGTAAGCAATCAATGCGGTTGCAGGTCTAAATCAAAGACGATGTTGACGAGCATTGAAAGCTAAACATTCATAGACGTTGCGCCAAATACGACTCGGGCCATCTATACTGGCGGGTAGAAAAGTCAAAGTGTTTCGAATAATTTAACATTTGCCATACCTTTTTTATTTTCAAAATACTTTCCTCAAAACATTCACGGTATATGATCGTCACGCCAACAGAATAGCTTTTGTGTTTTCGCAGTTTCTAGTACACATATTTTGTGTAGGAAATTTTTCATAGCTTTATGTAAGTTGGGATCAAACTTCCATTCTATTGAACTTAAAGTCGATTCTATGATAAAGTGAGATTTCCTTGATGACAATACTCATTATTTCTAGACCAATGTGTGTCCCTTTTGGACATATTTCAAATTTGCCACTAAATATTGAATGTTTGTTGTCTTATTTTTGTTTTAAACTTACCCGTTTCCTTAACTAAATTTGGTAAGTACTCATTCCAGAACGCACAGTCTTGAATTTTAGGTCCAATTCCTATCGCATTCCTTTGTTCATGGTCATGCACAATGTTAGGAGTAAGTCTGAGGTATTTACGTTCTTCTATTGTATAAACTGGCCATTCATCTAACATCATTATTTCACCGTTTACCTGCTCTTTGTTTGGATCCCTACAAGAAATTCATGGACATTATGTCTTCAAAACATCTAACTCAATTTCGTTTTACTATCTATCAATATCAATATATAATAATAAGTGTTTCAGAAGGAGAAGCCTATATAATATTGCTATATTTTAATTGATTATGCCGAGTTTTGACTAGAAAAGAGTCCGAAACATCATTTGTATAAAAGAATAAAATTCAAAATCGTAATTTGCCTCATTTATGAATCAGGCAAGTATACAATTCATTCTATGTTAAACGGAATACTGGAATTGAATATAATCAAGTAAACATATAAAAATCATAGTTTATATGACAAATTTGACGATTCCAGTGATGTTACACACCAACTGCCCAAACCTATGGGGTAAATGTTCTGTTTTAGTTGAAACAGTACCTAACAGTTTTCTCATTATTGAAGAAAGACATATGATTTGTAGCTGCAAAATACTCCAACGAGGTTATTTAATAATCAAGAATAACAAAATTAATTTGCTTACAAGTTTTATGGTTTGCATTCAGAAGGGATCTCTACAGTATCAAGTTAACAGAAACATAAAATTGAGAATGGAAACGGGGAATGTGTCAAAGAGACAACAACCTGACCAAAGAGCAGGAAACAGCCCAAGGCCACCAATGGGTCTCCACACACCATGAGGCGGGCTTCAGCTGGCCCATAAACAATAATGTATACTAGTTCAGCGAAAATGGACGTGACACTAAAATCCGAAACATATAAATGAACCAAAATTAAAAAAACATACAAAACATGTTTACTTTGTCATAAATCAAACAGGTCCACTGTCGTCCATATCAAATTATAACGGGTTTTGCTACATTGCTGATCATGACACTTGCAAAAAGAGACAGAAGATTCCAAGGGGGAAAGGGGGGATGAAACAATCATAATATGTCTCAATGCGTGATAAAATTCCGATTTTTTAATTCCTGTAAATAATTTGGTTGATTATTGTTTACTCGTGATAACCTAAATTACCTTAATCAATCTATCATTTTGATCTTACAGAATTTATCGTAAACACTTATGTTCTTTTACTCCAGGAATATATTACCTTCGATATATTTGGCACAAATTGTCAGATTTTGGAAAATGCAAGAAATATGCCGAATAATGTATACAAAGGACGGTTTTAACCCAAACCAAATTCAATTGAAAGTAATTCTATCGATATATTTCCTTATCGATACCAATCAATTCATTTGATTAACGATGTCCTTCGCTTCAAATAAAGGCAACAGTAGTATACCGCTGTAGTAAATCGATAGAGATAAAAACAAATCCGGGTTACAAACTAAAATTGAAGGAAACGCATCAAATATAAGAGGAGAACAACGACACAATAAAAACACAACATTAAAATGTAACACACACAGAAACGAACTATGATATAACAACGGCCATTTTCCTGACTTGGTACAGGACATTTTAAGAAAATAATTGTGGTTTGAACCTGGTTTTGTGGCATGCCAAACCTCCCGCTTTTATGGCAACGTCAAACACAACACCAAAACGACAACATCACATGACAGGACCACAATACAAATAAATGGGAGAACATATGGGACAAAGAAACACACGAATAATAGCTAACAAAAGGTACTAGGCTTAAAATTCAATACGCCAGACGTGCGTCTCGTCCACACAAGACCAACCAGTGACGCTCAGATGAAAAAAGTTTGAAAGCCAAGGGTTTTCTGCCTGGGACAAGAACATCCTTATTATTTAGAATAATTTATAATTTTGCAAACAGTAAATTTTATAAAATGACTATATAATAGATATACATGATAAAACCGAAATGGAGACAAACTACAGAATAAAAACGGATACATTACATAAAACAACTTAATCCAACACATAAAAATACACAGCCGAGTCAGCCAAATCCTCAACGCACAAAGTGACGTCACATTTGAAATTCTAAAAAAACAAACAAAGTGACGTCACATTTGAATTTGTAAAAATATTTCCCAAAAATAAGATAGGATTAGGATTGATTCAAGATTAGATTTGTAATACTGACATTACATATAATATCAATGAAAATTACAATACTTATTAATATCAAATTGTGGTAGTAATTAGATAATTAATTGTATTATCTAGCTATGTCGGTGTTTCTTCTGAATGAAACTGTAAATCAAATATATCGTATAAATTTCGTTGAACCAAACTAAAATCTAATAAATGAAGGGGGTGATTAATTATCTTTACCATAACACACGAATATAACAGAAAAGACGTTAAGACAAAAAAATGTAAAATTAGCAACATGTACGGCGGTATAACATTTCGATTCTATTCGAAATATACTTACGATTATTTGTTTAAGTGTTTATATATGCTTTTTAATATTCGATTTCTATTAGGTTTTTTTACCTGTAAGTTATATGAATACAGGAGAAATTGACGATATATGTTTAAATACTGACAACAGCTACAAATGCCATCGTCTGACCTTGGAACAAAGACTTTAGTCATGTGATGCACAATCAAAAATATATTTTCTCAATTACCTCTCTCATAACCTGTGAATTTGTATGATATAATCTCGAGGATATAATTCTAAGTTGTACTTCCTGCAGAGGTCCTGCACATAGTTTTTTTAAAAATGAATAAACATGAGTACATCTTTGTTTTAGACATGTTGTAGCAAAACATCTTTTTAGTAAAGAATGAAATTGATATATAATAAATAATATTTTGATGGTTTTCCTTAAATGTTAAAAAAATGAATATAGTAAATCCGTAAGACAAAATTAAAAAAAATATAGATACTGATATATCACAAACTAGGATGATTAAAGGATGATATTTTGCAAGAATTAAGACACTTTTTCATTTTCGAAAACAAAGGGCCTAAACGTTACATTATATTACCTTCTCCTTTAACATATAGGCAATGTTTACGACTCTGGCATTAAGAAGCGTCACAAACCTTCTGTTTTAAATAAATTTAGATTGATGTGAATTAATGCATGCCGGTTAGAAGACTAGTTTTTATAACCTAATAATACTGAATTAGTGGGTGTTTTTGACAGACGTGAAAGGTGAGGCAACATTTTTTTTTATCAATTTTGCTGTTTGTTTAGTTTTACTTTTTAGATGTTTTCATTTATTGAGAATTCGCTTTTTGTAAAAAGAAAATCTGTAAATTTAGGACAGAATTGATCTGACAGTACCAAAGATATTACTATATTGTATCAGAAGACAACTTTCACCCGTCAATGTTCTAGCGTTATAGAGAATGTAAAGAAATCTTACTAAAGTCTATCAGTATTTTAAAAATCCTTAACATTATAATTTTGAAAACGTGTATCATCTGATTTTTCAGATCTTGACTGTCTTTTCTGTAAAGATTGCGAAGTGAACAAAAATAGATTAGTGAACAGTGTCATTATAGTACGAAAATGGTATACTGACACAAAATATTAAAAAAATGAAAATGATGGGACAGAGCACTTATTTGGTTATTAAAAAGGCAAGTATATTTTATTGTTCATTCACAAATATGATCACATTAGTATTTTTATTGTGTATATTAAACCTTTGTTTTTATATCTTCTTGACTCAAGTTTTTAAATCTTCATGACTCGTGCGTTTGACGTATACAATTTCAATCCTGGTATATATAATGAGTTTATGTCTTTTCTATTATATTCGTGTGTTATGGTAAAGATAATTAATCACCCCTTCATTTATTAGATTTTAGTTGGTTTAACGAAATTTATACGATATGTTTGGTTTACAGTTTGGTTCAGAAGAAACACCGACATAGCTAGATAATACAATTAATTATCTAATTACTACCACAATTTGATATTTATAAGTATTGTAATTTTCATTGTTAGTAATAAATGTTATGTCAGTATTACAAATCTAATCTTAGTTTAAACAATATTTATTCAGATAAATCAACATTAAACGATATTATACAAATGAAATAATATTAAGGATTTAGAAACAAGCAATTTGCTTTTACAAATCTGTCTCCTTTTACAAAAATAACACACTTATTGGACAATACATAAATATAAATACTGGCATGCTCCGTAATAAATATATGAATATGAAAAAGGTGAAAGAAGAAGAAAAAAAAAAAAAAAAAATAAATAAACATGAATTATTGTAATGTATACAGTGTGAAATGCTTGGGTTCCTATTGAATGATGAAGCATTAACATCAAGGGTTAAAACGTTTATTTTTAATAATATATTTCTGCACCAAACTAAATAAAAGACTATTTTGCTCATCTGAGAGTACCGTTGATCCAAAAAGCAAAGTTTTTGTGTTAACTTGGACAGGAAGAACTGAAACAGAATCTAATAGTTCACGTCTTAAATCAGTGTATATGGGACAAGATAACAGGAAGTGGGAATTTGTTTCTTCATCACCACAACGACAATTTGGAGAGTCTACTAAATTACGAACGAATAGGTGAGAATTCAATGAACTTGAATCCATTCTTAAGCGAGCATGAAGAATTTGACCAAAACGATGTCCTATATAATAATACGCTGGGACCTTACTATTTTGGGTACTAATTTGTTTTTTGAATAATGATAGAGATTCACATTTTCTTATGTTTAAGTTAAGAGTGTTCCATAGTTTTGTTGTTGCTGGGATGAAATATTCAGAATATAAACGGGTCCGTGTGTTGACTTGTGTAATATTATTTCTTTGTCTTGTATTATGATCATGCCTACTTCCTACTGAATCGGGCAATAAGTCTCTTAAATACTCTGGGGTTTTATTATTCAAAATTTTGTGATAATGAATTATATCTTTGTGATAATGAATTATATCTTTCAGATAATTTTTCCCATCGAGTTTCAACATATAAATTGTTTATACTGGTAAGTTTAGTACCCCCCGTGACGATACGCGCTGCGTCAAGCTGAATATTTTTATAATCTTGAATCAATCCTAATCCTATCTTATTTTTGGGAAATATATTTTTACAAATTTAAATGTGACGTCAATTTGTGTGTTTTTTTAGAATTTCAAATGTGACGTCACTTTATGCGTTGAGGATTTGGTTCACTCGGCTGTGTATTTTTATGTGTTGGATTAAGTTGTTTTATGTAATGTATCCGTTTTTATTCTGTAGTTAGTCCCCACTTCGGTTTAATCATGTATATCTATTATATAGTCATTTTATAAAATTTACTGTTTGCAAAATTATAAATTATTCTAAATAATAAGGATGTTCTTGTCCCAGGCAGAAAACCCTGGCCGTGTTAGGCGCAACTTTTCGGAAGTATTGGTCCTCGGTGCTCTTCAGCTTTGTACTTGTTTTGGCTTTCAAACTTTTTTCATCTGAGCGTCACTGGTTGGTGTTGTGTGGACGAGACGCACGTCTGGCGTATTGAATTTTAAGCCTAGTACCTTTTGTAAGCTATTATTCGTGTGTTTCTTTGTCCTATATGTTCTCCCATTTATTTGTATTGTGGTCCTGTCATGTGATGTTGTCGTTTTGGTGTTGTGTTTGACGTTGCCATAAAAGCGGGAGGTTTGGCATGCCACAAAACCAGGTTCAACCCACCATTTTTTTCTTAAAATGTCCTGTACCAAGTCAGGAAAATGGCCATTGTAATATTATAGTTCGTTTCTGTGTGTGTTACATTTTAATGTTGTGTTTTTGTTGTGTCGTTGTTCTCCTCTCATATTTGATGCGTTTCCTTCAGTTTTAGTTTGTAACCCGGATTTGATTTTATCTCTATCGATTTATGAGTTTCGAACAGCGGTATACTACTGTTACCTTTATTTATGACCAAGTATCGTAAGAATACAAAATATTGAAATTTGGTTAGCGACGTCCCTCGATGCAAAATTTGACAAAAGCAAGCAACAAAATGCCTTCAACAGCAACAGGCAGTTCCTGAATAGAACCTTGATTTGAAAGAAATATGTAAAATGGTTTTAAAAAGTTTTAAGTACGTATTTTCAAACGGGATGTATAAAGACATACCCACGTTCATTTTGATATATAAAGAGGTTTAACTCCTAACTATCCTACTGCCTGTCGATACATTTATTTTTGGCATTGCACAAGTCATGTCTTCTTTGACTGTCCATGACGTTAAAATACTAAATCCCTGGGATGTGTTTTAGTTGATTTTAGTCTCTGATGCATGATTTTTTTTATTATTAATTGTTTTTGGCTTTTAACTAGCTGTCAGTAACTGTGAGTACTCTCAAATCGTACTTTCCTGTTTATTTGACCTGTTGATACTAATTGTAATGCTTTTTTGTTATTTGATGTTTACTTATTTAGGGTTATATCTGGTCTATATACCAGCTTTGATAAGTGTTTGGTATAACTATAAATTTTCACTTCTTCGTACTATGAACATAAAAATTATTTATTTTGTAAAAATATTTCCTTTCTCCATTTGAACTGTACACGTATACCTAACAACAAAATTTTTATATAGATTAAACCGTTGGTTTTCCCGTTTGAATGGTTTTACACAAGTAATTTTTGGGGCCCTTTATAGCTTGCTGTTCGGTGTGAGCCAAGGCTCCATGTTGAAGACCGTACTTTGACCTATAATTGTTTACTTTTATAAATTTTGACTTGGATGGAGAGTTGTCTCATTGGCACTCATACCACATCTTCTTATATCTATATAAGAAATATCCTGATATATTCAATATGCAGTAGTGTTTGACAACTTCTAGATTTTGACCCTGTGAGTGAAACAAATAGAGAGGAAACTGGCCATGCCTCTTTGTGTACAAGTGTATCATAGAAACATTTTGTCTGACCTACTGGTGTAACAGATACCTTACAATATGCTTTTTAAGATTACGATTCGATTTTGAATGTAACAATAACGAACATTTATCGAAAATCTCTATTTGGTGGTCTGTCTTTATCTAAGCAAAAAATTCATTATATATATATATATATATATATATATAAAACAATCTTTTTTTTTCATTTGTAGTGTCTCTTCTCGTTTGTTTAAAGACGTAATTTTTTCAAGTGTAACGATATTTTATGTTAAATTATATTAATTGTAAAATATGCTATACCTACCCAGTTTTTGCAAAATTAGTCCAATATTTCATTAGCTTTTTGCTAAACTTCTTCTCAATGTGAGTGTAATTTTTTGTGGGATCCAAAGGTTCTCCAAAAACAAAGTTTATTTCATCCCCATGTAAAACTCCCATCCACTTCGGCCAAAAATGTGCTGTTGATCTATGTTCAAATCGATATTGATAGACTGGAACACCTGCCAATGCATATCGGTCAGCAAAGTCTATAGTTGGGCAAACGAAATTCATATCGCCAAATGCTTGATCTACCGATAGTGCATTTAAATGTTGGTCATAAGGATTTTTCCACGGTGTATATTGAAATTTAATTGCCTCTTCCCCAAATGAATTAAGCTTTTTTGGATACTGTGGATAATACTGGAAAAAGTGACGAATACAGTCGAGAAACTGAGATCGGCTTAAGTTTAAACTATCTGAAAAGTTTAGTGGAAAATAATCTGGGTTATCATACACAAGGAAATAATTCCCTTCGTTTATGTTTGTGCCAATAAGTATTGGCGTTTTCTTAAAATGAAGATTATTAAATGCCATTTTTGGTGATTCGGGAATTAAAACACCATCTATAACAGCTACAAATGGGAACTGATTAATGCCATAAGCTATTGTATGAGAAAAATCTTTAACTGGAAATTCTGAACCTTCTTTTTCTCGCAAACATTTCAACGTCATCTTCACATCTTTTCGGGAACAATTGAAAACTTTTGCTAGTTCTGTTGATCGGCGAAAAGCTTCCTTTTTAGTAACTGTAGCCCAAGTCGCTTGAGGTGCCCCACTTTGTAAAATTGCTCTCTGAAACTTGCCTCTACTTAGAGGTGAAAGCATATGTATTCCAACTGACGCGGAACCAACACTTTCTCCAAATAATGTCACATTATGACTATTACCTCCAAAATTGTGTATATTTGTTTGGACCCATTCAATGGCTGCTAACTGATCAAACAATCCAGCATTCCCAGGAGCCTCCGAATCACCAAACGACAAAAATCCCAGAGAACCTAAACGATATTGCATAGATACAACAATAATGTCGTTTTCGGCAGCTAAATATTTTGCATTATATACATCTAAGGCTGATGATCCGTAACTGTAGGAACCACCATAAATCCATATCATTACAGCTTTATTTGTAAATGGAGAATTTGTCCGAGGTACCCATACATTTAGATATAAACAATCTTCGTCGACTGGAGTATTAGGATTCCACATTTGAGCCCCTTTGAAATTTTTAAACATAGAATCGTTCAAATAAATGCATGATTTGGGGAGATGAGTAGCATCGAACACGTCAGGCCATTCATCTGCGGGTAATGGGTGGCGAAAACGAAGCTCACCGACAGGTGGTTTTGCATAGGGAATTCCATAGAATGCATCTACTTGTTTTCCATGATAAGGATTGAGTCGTTTGCCTCGAACAAATCCCTTGTTGGTTTGAATAATTGGACTGGTACCCAGTGTAGTCGAACATGTTGATAGTATCGTCCATAGTAGTGGTGTAACTACAGACGATATAAAATTCCCCTTCATGACATCACTCCACCAGAAGGTGTTTCTGAAAAATACATACAAAAAAGTCAAATTTAACAAAAAAGTTAAGCGAGCTATACAAACTTTTCTTCCATTTTAAACTTTCACATATAAGGATGCAAGCAATTGCGCTTGACAAAAACTGATTTCCCTTTTTGTCAACGTTAAAGCGATGTGTGAATTTTGAGAGATAGACGTAATATTAACAAATAGCTTTTGTCCAAAAAATGTATTTTGAAACAAATTAAGAAAATTTGACCTTCTAATGAATTAAACTTACATGTAAAAATTACAACGGACTTGAGACAAATGACATATCTCCGTACGAATACATCCCAGCCTCACAATACAAAATCTATACAAATAACAGAAAGGATGGATACGGGGGAGTGTTACTAGCTATCTCAAACCAGATTACACCCAAACAGAGTTCTATGCAAGAAAACAAACTCAAATATTTGGGTAAGTGGCGACTTCAACCTTGGCCACATAGACTGAAACACACCAGCAGTCATACCTAGTAAACCTGATGTATCAATACACCAACAACTCCTCGATATATTAAATGACAACAACTTAACACAGGTCATTAACAAGAACACCAGAAACGACACAACCCTAGACCTTTTGTGTATGACCAATTCATCATTTGTTAATAGAGTCGAAACATTACCACTAATCGGAGCGAGTGATCATGACATTGTTTACAGTGAAATAAACTTAACTCTGCCACCAAACAAACAACAGGCTCATAAAGTACTTAACTACAAAAAGGCAAATTGGGAGCAAATAGAAAAAAGATCTCACTGAAACGTACAAACAACTAAAACAAAATCAAGATAAATTCAATGTCGATGAACTTTGGAACACATTCAAAACCAACATCCAAAAATCTATTACCAAGCATATTCCAACAAAAAGCATTGGTAACAAATCGAAACTACCGTGGGTAAATAACCAACTAAAAAAGCTCATCAACAAGAAAAACAAACTATATAAAAAGAAAAAGAAAAATCCCAAGTATAAAAAACAATACCAAGAAATTAAAACCAAGCTCCAGAAAGAAATGAGAAACTCGTACTGTCAATACATAGAAAATATGATTTTTGATATTGAAATAAAGGATCCAGATCAACCATTCTTCAAAAATGCACATAAAAAACTATTCTTACATTAAAAGCCAGAAAAACGAAAACACCGGCATAGCTCCTCTACGAGGTGAATGTACACTGCACTCAAGTCCATCAGAGAAAGCAAATATACTAAACAAACAATTTCAGTCTGTTTTTACATCTGAAGGAAACACTAACATTCCATACAAAGGTCCTAGTAAATATCCCATAATGGAACCCATTACAATATCAAGGGATGGTGTTTACAAACTTATCAAAAACATAAACCCTAATAAAGCTACTGGTCCTGACACCATCGCAGGCAAAGTACTATAACAAAACATTGAAATATGTACAGATATCCTCATTTTGATATTTACAAGATCACAACAAACAGGCAAAGTACCATCTGACTGGAACCACGCAAACGTCACACCTGTATTCAAAAAGGGGATAAACACAACCCAGGCAACTATAGGCCTATATCCTTAACATGCATAGCTTGCAAATTACTAGAATATATCTTTGCAAGCAGCATGATGAATCATCTAGAAACAAACAACACTCTGTGTGAATTACAACATGGATTTAGGGCAAAACGATCATGTGAGTCCCAAGTTATCTCATTGATACATGAATTATCACAAAACAATGACAAGAACATACAAACAGATCTTATAATCATGGATTTTGCTAAAGCTTTTGACAAGGTACCACACAAAAGATTACTATACAAAATGAAATACTTTGGCATATTAGATCAAATCATTAACTTGGTTGAATCCTTTCCCTCAAACAGAACTCAAACAGTACTTTTAGAAAACATGTCATCTTCAAAAATACCAGTCTCATCAGGTGTCCCACAGGATACAGTGCTAGGACCGATACTATTCTTAATCTACATAAATGACCTCCCAGAGTACATCCAACATAGCAAAATCAGACTCTTCGCAGATGACAGTATAATCTACCGACATATCTCAAAACGACTGCCTCAAGCTTCAAGAAGACTTTGAAGCTGCCATACAATGGGAACAAGATCGGCTTATGTCTTTCCATCCAGACAAGTGTAAAATCATGAACATAACGACAAAGAGAAATCCCATCCACTTTTATTACAACATGTATGGACACATTTTAGAATCGGTAAAACATGCTAAATACTTAGGTATCACCATCTCAGCAGACCTAAAATGGAACACCCACATCAAACAAACCGCCGCTAAAGCAAATAAATCCTTATGTTTTATCAGAAGAAACCTTAAATTCCAATCGCAAACAATTAAAGAAAGAGCGTACCAAACACTTATAAGACCAAAGTTAGAATACTGTTGTACTGTATGGGACCCATTTACAAACGAAAATATAAAATCACTAGAAAAAGTACAGAGACGGGCGGCAAGGTATGTGTGCAACAGACATCACAACACGAACAGTGTGTCTGAGATGCTAGACACCAGGAAATGGCAATAATTACAAGAACGCCGACTACAAACAAGGCTTATAATGTTCCATAAAATTGTAAATGAAAATAAAGCCATTCCATCGCATAATGTATTACAACAGAGTCAGTCTACTACAAGATCCACCAATAAAGAATCTTACAGACAAATTCAATGCAATAAAGACAGCTATACATTTTCTTTTTTCTGTCAAACCATCAAAGACTGGAACAAATTATCCTCTGAAATTACTAAAAACACTACTACAGAAAATTTCAAGGGTGCACTCACTCACGATGTGCTCCTTGATACTTACCCTTATCTGAAATAAACTCTTGTTTTTATCTTAAACCAAAAAAGTAAAAATAAAAAATTTAGTATTAAAAACTTAATAAAAAATTGTATAAACTAAAAACAAAGAAAAATTGTAAAAATTGAAAATACGAAAATGTATGATCAAAAACAACATTAAACAAGAAATATTTTGTTAATCTATGTTTTGACTAAAATATTTTCCATATCAATTTATTTGGAAACATTTACCAGGCATGCGCCGGAAAGTAAACATCAGTACGTTGATGGTTTTCTGTAACGAAAGAAGATGATGAAGAAGAAGAAGAAGAGTCTCGAGTATAAAATAAATGAAAAGAATAACAAGATTTACCGAAAATATAAGGTAGTAATACTGACTACACCATCCGACTCTTCCGAAAAATAAACGTACTACAGAAACTGCCAAAATTGCGTCATGTTGAGATCTTGACATAAATATTCAGATATGAGCAGCAGATTTACCCAAAAAGACATTTTGTGACACGATGTATTTAAGATCATTTTACACTGATGTTAAAGTGTGATAAATTTATGTTAGTGTAAGACTGTGGCTCGTATCTATTTTTGTCAACAAAAAAAAAAACTATAAAAAAGCTCAAATATGTAATTTTCAAGATGTACATGACATCACGTAAACATCACATGTGATCTTTCTGCACTAAAGTGTCCATATTTTATATATATGTTCTTTTATCAATAAAATTAATATTCCGATCAAATCGAAAGGCTTGAGTAATTTTACTCTTTTTGCAAGTTGAGGGGCCAAACTTATGCCCTTTATCATACCTCCTTCTTTAAAAAAATAGAATAAAACGCTTGTTTAAGCAATCGTCTTTTTCAAATCATTTAAAACAAATATTAGAATAAAACAGATAGATAACAGCCACATAGGCGATAGCTTGGTTTGTTACACTCTGTAACCTTGTTCATTAAGCGTATTTCTTTCTTCTATAGTGAATTGCTTATGTTTTAAATCAAAAGAAAATGAAACCTCCCATCTGCAATATTCCCAATTCGTTTCGTCTTCAAGTAGTGTGAGAACAGTCAAGAGATTGTATCTAATTGGTTTCGTTCGAATGGCATCTATGGGTTTTCTCTTTCAACAATATCAATCGAAACTACCAACTAACAAATCCTCCCATGCTTACTTAATCATTTTTTTTTAACTGTAAATGCATATAGTTTTTGCACAACAATCGGTCAATGTTTAATCAAATACAGAAAACACAATCTGAGAAATATGATCAGTAATAAGATGTTGATAACTTATAAAACTTACGTTGAGCTTTTTTGAAAATGAGAAGACCATTCGAATACAACAAAGAATAAAAGTATGAGTAAAGTAAGATTAAAATGAGCAGCGTCAAAGATTTATACTACCAGACAAAAATATGATTATTAAACATGTCAGTGATGTAGTTATATGCTCCAGGAATTTTGAAAATTAGAATATTTGACCCAAAGCGTATTTAACAAATTATAACATCAGATAAACACTTACTATGGATTCAATTATTTTCGTGGGTACCAATTGTAGTAAACCCAACAGTTCAACTATTTCATTGTAGAACAGTGGCTAGAAAAATGATTACTAAAACTATTTTCTGTGTCTTTTAGTGTGAAAGAAACATGTAAAGCCTCTAAATACTGAAAAAAAGATATAAGTTTACCTTTAATACAATCGATACTTAGTGCAAACTTCCTTCAAATTCTTTGTACACAACTGGCATATCTAAAATGCTTGTCAAGTTCTACAATAATCTATTTGAATTTCTATGATAACAATATTTCTATTTCTACTTGTACTTCTTTGTAAAATAGTACACACAATGCACTTCTCACTAATTTCCCGCACGGTTGTTCTCTTGTCTTACTTTTCTATCATCAAGCTCATAATTTACCCAATTTATGATGCGAATTATTAGTGCCCACCATGAAATGTTTGTTACATTTTAGATCAAGGAAGTTATTTTTGCTATCTAATAGCTTTACCATTTCTCTTCGTATCTATCCAAATGCTAATTTGTGAAATAGATTTCATTTTGACACAGTTTTCTGACAAACAACCGATAACGAATATTTAATAAAGTAATTTGTTTATCAATTATTTTTCCACAAAAAATTAATAAATAGTGATT